GGGGGGCCATGTTATGATTGAGACCTCCTGTATTCCTATTCCTGGTTCTGCGACCATGTCCATCCCCGAGGTGTAAGCAAGGCTTAGGGGGGGCCATGCTATGCTTTACACTTCCTGGACTTATTCCAGCGATAGTTGACATACCCAGTGGCAAGTCTTATTTCTGGAATGAAATAGGGTAACGTGAGTCTAGGGTCCAAGGCCCTTCTATACCACCATCCGAACATACGATCACACATCTTACAGCGCCAGTTCCGAACTATTGACGCTGGTAGGGACCACTGGCGCTACAATGTTTTCGATACACTGCTAGTGGACGCACGGATTAGTCCTTGTCATGACGCAACCAGTCACAACCCACAGAATAGCAGTTTCGCCATCATTGACTGCCAGAAATGTCGCACGCTGTCTCCGCCGGAGCGTGCGCGAATATCGTCTCGCCGTTTCGGTTCATAGACAAGTCAACCGGAGCAGACATAGGGGCCCGCTGGGTCAGGCAACTTGGCAGTAGTCTTGGTGGCATCGTTGTCTTTGATGCATCTTTGTCTTGGTGACTCTTGACATCTTTGTCTTGGTGGTCTCCTTAGGTGCTGCTAAGTCATTGGTTATTCTCTTGGTGGTACCCTCAGGTACTGCCTTGAGTGGTAATAAGTGCTATTCAGTACGGGCTCAAGGTTTTTGACTGTAGACCGCCATTTGTCTCTGTCGATCTTGTCTGAGCTTGACCAAAATCTCAAAGATGCTTTCCAAAGAAGCCTTAGGTATCATTGTGCAGAGCATATATGATGACCTTTTTCTTTCTTTGAAGTCTCAGCAGGTCACATGAGAGCCCGTACCGCCGCGCAAACCACCCGTGAGAAATGCTACTGCATTAGAGAAGAAACTAATAGCTCCTCAAGCACACCTTCGAACACCTTCGAAGACAACTTGCTCACTGATTCGGATATTGCGCAAGGCAATTCATAGACCCACACGGGAGCAACTCTTATTTTCAATGTGCACGACGACTCCCGTACTGTTCTGGCGGTTCAGTGGCCATGTCCTGAGGTCTCTTCGAAGCCCTGGGGCCTCCCAATGATGCGCTAAAGTGTGGGAGCGAGCGGTCAGAAGGTAGGCTGGCATCGGCGCAGAGTGTCACCACTTTTTTGTTTAGTTGGTCTCTCCCCACTGTGTGAGCAGTCGAATCAAAACGGGCACACGCGCGGGCTCTACTTGCCTAAGCCATGTTTGGGGGCCCTAGCCTGCTAGGATCGTAAACTACTAGAATATGTTGACCTGGGGGCCCTGTACAGAATGTCAACACTTCGTGACTCTTGACCTGAGACGCACAGCACTTGCAAGGATTTGCGCCGAAGCCTTTGCTAAACGCCAACATCTAAGTAAGGTACTGACACCTGCGATGTGCAGAAACCTCTTTTCTGAGAACCAACAACGTATCCACCACGAGAGCCTTCGACCTGTACAGACATGTACATACACAATGCCATATTCCAGGTGAGGACCTCAGTCCTGGTCCTGGAGGCAGGTACAGTTTTTTCGGTGTAGTTCGGCATAGTTTCACCTGGTTTCACTGTAGAATCGGGGCCTTGCGCGCTTCACTGAAGCAACCGCTTGCGACGGGTTGCTGCCTGAGCTCGAAGATATGCAAGCTTGAAGTGGCCACCACCCTGCATCCTCGTGTTTTCTCTCGTTGCGAAGCTGTTTGAGATACACTGCAACAAGGCTGCCATTTCGCACCTGTCCTCTCCCCTCTCGGGAGGGGTGTGCATTGCAAGACGTGCGTGCGCGTGAAGCGCATTTGAAGCACAGTTGAAGCGTTCAATGCTTTCAACCAGCATGCACTAGCTGCCACTCGATGACAGAACAAGTTGTCGCAGAGCAAGTTGTCGCCAAAGGTTGGTCACACTGCTGACAATGAAGTGCCTTCCCGCTTGGCGCGTTTGGGCCGGTTTTCCAATGCATGCGTGCCCCTTGTACCAACCTTGCAACTTGAGACCATGCCTGTCCGAACTCTCGACTGTGGCTTGTGCACACATTGCAAACATAGCAAACCTAACAAGTGAGGCCCGCGCACGCGGGCCTACATGCCCTGCACAAGCAAGCTCTTGACCTTTGCAATTTCGCGACATGAACTGAGAGGCCGTTTTGCGTAATTCGTTGCCCCAAGTCAGTTTCACTTACATCTTTCAAGTCTCACCCCTGCATGACCTGATTGAGTCTCTGATGGCTGGGTCTTTTCTGGTTTGGTGGTGTTGGTTGTGTGGTTTGTTGGCGTTTGGTTGTTGGTGGGTTTCGTTTTGGGTTGCCTCCTTAGGCCAAAGACTCAATCATCAGTAGCGCAAGATGACCTGGGCATTCTCTGCCCACATGGCGTCTCCACCCGTGCAACAAAAAAGGCGAAGACCTCAGTCTTTGTCCTGGCGGCGAGTACAGTTTTCGGTGTGGTTCGGCGTGGTAGTTTCAGCGTAGTTTCACCTGTTTCACAGCAGATTCGGGGCCTTGCATGCTTCCACAACGGAACCACTTGTGACCGCTTCATTGACTGAACTTGGCTATTTGAAAACCTGAAGTGGCCACCTCCTGGCAACCTCGTGTGCCCTCGTGTGCCATCCTTTTGCAAAGCTGTTTGAGTGTCACCGGCGCTGGGTTGCCTTTTCGCTCCCTCCCCTCCCTCTGTGGAGGGGGGCTGCGCTGCATACACTTGCCTTGGTATGCAGCGCACCCGAGTGGTCCTCTGCCAACAATCAATTCGTGATCTCCTTTGAACCTTCGACAGAGAAGGACCCAGGTTGGTCGCACTGCTCGCAGAGAAGTTCCATTGACCGCCCTGCTAGGCTTTGTACGCATGCCTGTTACGCCATTTGAAACCTTGCCTGTCCGAATGCCGATGCCTCTTGAAACCTCTGAGTGTGTGCACCCATCACGCATGGCCTGAGCATAAAGGCCATCTCTCGAACGCGCGTGAGAAGATGCGCATGAGTACAGGTGCATGCACGACAGCAAGCAAGTTAAGCGCTCAAACTGAACTTGAACATGTGCTGAGAGGCTCTTTTGCATAATTTGTCGCCCCACTTCCGTTTCACCAGAACGTCGCTCCGTTTCACCTTTGCATGACCCACTTGAGTCTCGCGGATGGCCGGGTTTCTGTTTCTTGTTTGGTTGTTTTGGTGTTTTGGGTTGTTTGGTTGTGGTTTCTTGTTTGTTCTTTCCTGGCCGAAGACTCACTCACAAGTAGCACAAGATGACCTGTGCATTCTTCTGCACACATGGCGTCTCCACCCGTGCCAAAAAAAACTTTAAGGACTGCCACATTCGGCTGTGGTTTGCAGCCTTGTCCAGGTCCCATCCAATGACCAGGTCATGGCTCTCGCCAACCTTCAGGCCCCAGTTCTGCGCCTCTTGGGACACCCAAGACGGTGAGTAAAGTTCATTGACTTGCACCTTGGTGGAGAACTCTTCCATGGTCTTTTTACCAGCTTGCGGTTCTTCCGATGGAACTGCGTCTCTTTGTCCGGAGACCAAAGAAACTGGTAACGGCCGTGATCGGCAAGCTGGGTTCTGACTCGAATGGCATGTTGGTGGCTTCTTCATGCCCCTGCCGCATGAGCCATATCTTCTTCACTGGGTCCCAAGCCTCGAACTTCTGGTGAACACGGGATCTTCCCCGACCATAGCGTGAGCAGCCCATTGTTTCGCCTTTGACCCACGGCATTCCGTCCATCCTGATGGTTCCTCTTCCGAGGATTGCCTGGCTGCAGCTTGTGAGGGTCCATCTTCTCCCATTTGAAGTGGTCGCATTGACGTTGCCTGACAGGCTGAGGAGACCGCCAGAGCCAGGATGATGCCACCTTGTCGAGCACGACTCGCGAGTTGCGAAGGGCGACAGCTGGCCGCAATTTTGGTGGGATGGAATCCATCGGCTGTGGATCCACCGTTGGTTGAAGTCCGACCATTCTCTTCGCCTGATGAAGCAGCGCCGCCATGGTAGAAGTCGGACGATTGGGCGGACTTGTCGAATTGCTGGTTGAGCTCGAGTTGAGCCGGCATAGCTGCAATGTGGACGGTAGGCGTCAGCCAGACCACGAAAAGGATCTAGGAGGCTGCCAGTTGTGAGCTCACCCATCCTCTGGCTTTGATCCCTTGAAGGGGCTCAATGTCTCCAGAATGATGAAGTCTTGCCAATTAATGCAATGGGTTTCCAGCAGCTTCACCTTCAGCCACAACCTTTTTTCATGTGACAGGCGCCAACGGCCCTGAAATCACACTGAGGAAATCCTTTTTGGCGGATGGTCATCCTGGCCACGGCTGCGTTCACCTCCTGACTGCTGCAGACTGAGTAGATTTCTCCTTTGTGCCTCATGGACCCTACAAGGTGCCCGCTGTCGGATTTCTCCTCGGGTTTCACCTCTTGACAGGACTGCCTTTGGATACCATCCCAGTCCTGTTCTCGCTTTTGAACCACAAACCCCTCCACAGGACTGCGTTTAACCAAAAACCCAGGAGAAATCGAAACCAACCAGCAAAAGGGTGGGTGTGCGTTTTGCTGTTGGTTTTGTGACTGGATGTTTAAGAAACCTTTCAGCTTACAATCAAAAGTAAAAACTGTCAGCTCAAGACAACCTGACTGACCATTGGTTTCCACTACATGAGGTGCAGCTTGTGCAGAGTTGTTCTTGAACCATTGAAACATATCAACTTCATCGCAGCTGTTTTGCATGCAGGCTCTGCAGGCGAATTGATCAATGTCAGTGAAAGGAAAACGAGACGTAAGGTTTTGAGGTTCTTCTTCGACCGGTTCATGTGGCTGCACGTATCAGCATCGGTTTTCATCATTCCAATCTAGGTCTTCTTCGTAAACCTTCGAACAGCTCCAAGTTCGCGGTGATCTGAGTCTCAAAAGGTTCGGGCCAGTGCCAGCATGAAGGCTAACTGTTTCAACCAAAAACAACACACAATTGTTTCCTGTGACAGCACCTCGTCCTCATTGTTTTTTGCTCAACATGACGCAGCATGCTGTCCCTCCCAATGGCGAGCCTGCATTGGTTTCGTCCAGAAACTTTATTTTGCGGCTGGTGTTGAGACTTGGTTTTGTTTGCGCACTCAGTTCTCATATGCTTTTGGTTGCCTGTACCTTGGTACCTTTTTGTTGTGTTTCACGAGCACCAAAACAAACAAACTAGCCAGCGTTGTGCAGCCTGCGTGAATTGAACTGCGCCGAGGCCAGGCTTATTGCAAGGCAAGGCGCAGACTTTTGTGCAGCCCATGTTGCCAGGCTGAGTGTGTGTGACCCCAAATTCATGCGTCCGAAACATTGAAAACAATTGTATCACCTCATCATGCAAACGATATTCATCCAAACGATGCTGTTGTTTGGAGGAATGGCTTTGGAAAACTGACCCACGTGGGGTCAAAAGGGGATTGTCCAACGTCCCCAAGGCTGCCCATTTTCGTGGCGGTGGACCTGGGCGGCTCACATGGGATGGTGGGCCTCATTGCTTCATGTTATCCGATTGCTCAATTCCTTGGCTCTACGCCCGTGGGATTTGTGTCACTTGATGGCATGTTGGAGGACTACGAAAACCTGATGGTGCTTTTTTCAGGACTTAAATCTGCCCATGAACAGTTTGTTTGTTCGCTTGAGATGACTTCCTACAGGGACAGGGTTGTTCAAGTTCAGACCGAATGACTGGTTGGAATGCCTGGCAATCGCTGTGTGTGTCTTCTGAGGATGAAACATTTGGAGAATTCCTTGGCCGCTTGCCTTGCTTTGGCATGGATGGTCTCTTGGCCTCAGGTGAGAAGAGCAACAATCTATTTTTGTAAACCTTTCCTATTCAGGAAATAAGAAGGTAAGGACCCCTTCAATAGGGCCCCCTGTAAAAGCCCTTACCTTCTCACTTTTCTTTTGGGCAAAAGAAATGACCACAAGAGCACAGGGAGATGACACATGCCAACAAAGCTCTGATTGAGGACACACCGAACGGATGCTCAAGAGGGGCTAGCTAGAATGTTTGGTCTATCAGTCTTCCGTGCACTGTGTGCAACGTCTCAATGGTTAGATTTGGAGAATTACATTGAAACATTGGCGTAAGGTCACCACAGCTTTGCTTTCGTTTGCAGCACAGACAGTCTATGTCCTCATGTGTATCCGCTTGCTTGGTGGCCTTGGTGCTACCTCTTTTGACATCTCGCAGAAGGCTTGAACTCAACGAAGGACTTTTAAGTCGCATGGAGTGTCTTTCGATTTGCTTGCCATCAGCAAGGGTTGAAGAGTTCCGTCACTACATGAAAGGGTTACCATCTCTTCATACATGAACGCAGCTTCATACTCGCATCTACAGCCTTTTTTGGGCCACAGATAATGGATCAACATGAACATGTTCACTGTTTGCTTCCTTGGTTTTGAGTGTCCAGTCAAATACCGTATCAAACCAGGTTATCGGGCATTATAAATCCTGCTTTGATTGCTTCAGTTTTGCTGTGATCTCAGGAATCTGATATTTACAAACTTTCCTGAGAAGAGGTACTTTGTCTCACATAGTCTACTCTAGATCCCTGTTCGGTATCCATTCCACCCCTCCCAGATACGAGTTTATTTACAGACCATTGGGTTTTGTTGACGAAAATCGTCCTGCAAGGGTCTTTTCTTCAGGTTTTCTGTTTGCCCCGGGGCAGGGATGTCGGTAAGACATTTGCTCCAGTTCATTTTTTAGTTCGTCCGAGGATTGCCGCGTTGCTCAGTGGGGTGGTGGCCCAGCACCTGGCGACGCGGAGCATTTTCTTGGTCCAGGCAACGTTGATCGGGGGCCTCACTTATCCCACCGGTCTCATGTGTCCAAACAGGAAGGCAGAGTTCTCCAATTAAGGCCCAGTTGCAAAGTTATATAATGTATGGTTTATCCAGATTCCTATTTCTTTAAAGAACAATTTTCACCAATATGTTCACCTGGCAGGCCTCCTTGTCATTTTGCGCTTTACTCCTCATTGCCTTGCACAGCCTCTACTTGAGAAGGAAGAGCGCTGATGTGGAGTTGCAGGACTCAGGTGCAGCAGCGCCTCAAGACGTCTCTTTGCGGGCAATTGTACGAGATCACTGGCGAGGATTGTTAGGTGCAGGCTTGTACTGCGCCATGCTGAATGGCTTTCGAAATACCTGGATGGTGTCGTTGCCTTTGCGAGGGCATCATATTGGGCTGAGCAAGATGGGCATTGGTGCCAGCGTGGCGTGGTACAGGGGATGTGATGCCGCGGTCACCACCGCAGTTGCAGGCACTGTTTGTAGTGAAGAGAGCATTGCCAGAGATCAAACTTGTTGAAGCTCTTGGTTTCAGAAATTCGCCAGCTGCTGGTTTCCCATTTTCATTCATTTGCCATGCCGAACTTTGGCACTGACCTGTCCAAGTCAAAGAAAAAACAAGTGCAACCAACCAAAAGCATCCCAAAACAATCTGCGGGAGGCTACATCATGGACAATTATGGTCTTAAAGCTTCAGCAGTTCCCTCCATGCTGCTGATGAGTGCAGCCTTTTCACTCCTGGCCATTGTGCAAGGTGGGCTGACAACTCGGCGAGGAAGCGCTCACCAGACCAAGCTGAGACCGACTGGGGCAGACGGTTAATGCTTTCATTTCAGCCGCGTTGTGTTCACATGAACTCAGATCACCGGACCATCTCATTATATAGTATTATGCAAATCACTCAAGACTCATCTCAACTGGGTGTTTTTGGACCCTTTTTGCCACGCCCAGCGGGCCCAAATCTTCATGTTTGAAGTCTTGTTGTTGTTGTTGTTGCTGCTGCTGCTGTTGTTGTTGTTGTTGTTTGTTGTTTGTTGTTTGTTGTTTGTTGTTTGTTGTTTGTTGTTGTTGTTGATGATTATTACTATTATTATTGTTACTAAACCATTACTATTATTATCATCAATATTACTATTGTTACTTGTATATATATATATATATCATATATCTATTTTCTAAACGTTTTTCTTGACATATTTTCGAGAGAACACGTCGTTTACTTCACTTCCAGTTCTGCAAGTTGGTCAGGTCCCATCTCCTTGGCCTTGGTGGCGCTGGTCTTCGGCGTCGGCAATGGGATGTGTGGGGGCGTGATCAACGCTTTTGCGGCCAGCCTGACACCCCCACACGCGCGGACCCAGTTCTTGGGCTTGTGGATGCTTGGAAGTCAGGGCGCAAAAGCCTTGGTCTTGAGGACATTGCGTGTGGATGTATTTGCTTGCTTGTTTGTTTGATTTTGTTGTGCAGGGTCGATGGGTTATAGGGAAGAGTGTGATGGGATATACTGACTGAGTGAGAATTCACCTTGTCCCAGCCAGCCCGGTGGTTCTTATCCATCTTTTTGCAAAAGAGGGTCTCCCAGCAAGAGTGTTCCAGAAGAAAGCCAGGAGCAACCACATAAGTTGGTTTATTGCGTGTCGTTCTTTTTTGCTGATAGGGAAGACGATCTACCAAGCTTCCAAGGAAGACTGTCACCTCCTTGGGTGGCATTTGTGTGCCACCCATCTTTGGACTGGTCTCCGATTCATCGACCCTGGACATGGCAGGCTTTTGCATTTCTGGTGCAGCGCTTTGCACAGCGCTGTGGACGGTGCTGATGGTTCAGCAGGTGGTTCCCAGCAGGAGGGCGGGCCCATCTCCAGCTCAAGGAGATCAGGTCTCAGTGTCCTTGGCCAACAATCCATCTCCAGCTTGAAGCCATGTCGAGGGAACTGCCAAGCAGAAACAACTCTTGATGGCTTGGGTGGGGGGCTTAATCAAAACCCAACTGATGACTGGAACTTGGCTAGCGGCTAGCCGATCGGCAGCAGCCAAAAGCCTGAGAGGCTCTTTTTCCAGCGCACCGATCACAAAGCATCACTTGCTCTGCCAGCCTTGAGTCCTTTCATTTCATTTAGGAGGTTTTATGAGAGAACCTTCAAGCATGACCATGCTATAGCCTGGTGCTTAGATTGGTCTGTATGGTACCACACGGTTTGTAAGCGGTTTTGCCATTCATCACCAGAGGTGATGATTTACTGTCCTAGAGCTTCCTGTTTGTAAATCACCGTGGAAAGACAGTTGTCATCATCTAAACCAAGCTTCCGTGAACTCTGAGGGTTTTCGGACGGGGAAGTTTCGTCCGAAAAGCATGTGGCTCAATTTATGCGCAGCAACCATTGACCCATGGCGACGACTATTCGTCAATCTTTTTGTCAATCATTGTGTTTGGGGAGTGGCGGATTTCGGCATACAATTGCTGGTTCAACTGCTGGGATTAGCACAGCCCAGAAGCCTCCACGACATCGCAAGAAACAGCGTACAATTGCAGTTATCTCGAGAGCACCGTTGTTTTAAGACATTTCTTTGACCATAGAGATCCGGAATGTCAGAGGAAAGCTTCACCAGATTGATCCCGCTTTGGGGCTCATGGCAAGACTCTGGATTTGCATCCTTCCGACGTATTTGGCGTTTTCACCACCTGGAAAGACGCCCTTCCATGTCTGGTTTGAAGAGCCCCAGCCGCGGTATGCACAGAAGTGGTCCTCCTATTTGGAGGTTTACGAGCCTCGATTAAAGCAGGACCTGTAGATGTGAGAGCTGGATTGTGCAGACATCGTTCCCAATCCCAGGGCCTCCTTTGTAGACAGAGAGAGAGAGAGAGAGAGAGAGGGAGAGAGAGAGAGAGAGAGGGAGAGAGAGAGAGAGAGTGGCTCCTGTTCTAGGCCTTTTTTTGCTTGAACCCAACGTGCTCAGGATAGATACTTGTCGAAGTTCCGGAACAGCTCGTGTAGCTTGCTGGAACTGGGTGTGCAGAGTGGCGGTTCGCAGCTGATGTGGCGGGACTATTTAGGTCCCAAGAGCCACATTTACGGAATAGACATTGAACCAGCAGTGACTGAGATGTCTCAAGCTCGGATTACCAACTTCATCGGCGATGTAGGGGATCCTGCCTTTTTGACCTCTGTTTGTGAACGGATTGGACATGTTGATGCCATCGTCGACGACGCCTCTCACGTGAACTGGCATCAGAAGTTGGCTTTTGAAGTCCTCTATCCATGCTTAGAGCCGAACGGTGGGATATATATTGTGGAGGAGACAGAAGGGCTGCCTATGTATATTTGTATATATATATATATACTGTTTGACAGTCATGAGCGGTCACTCGGTCAGGCATGACACGCACAAAACAAGAAGTGCACAAACGCTACTGTATAGGCCCAAGCCGAGAAAGAAATTTCGCTTCGCATGGTAGCGGAGCGTGGCCGTACGAGCCCGCTCCGTTGCCCACGACACTGCACTACGACCCGCCGTTTGACATCGCGGAAGGTGACCTCGAAGGGGGCACAATCAATCTCCTTTTGGCTTGTGGAGCTGTTGCTCCTGAGCTGCTTGGCGGGAGGTGCAGGTGACTCCTGGCATCAGGAAGTGTGCCACTACATCCCACCACGAGTGGTGGCACAGCAGTCGAAGTGGAAGGTTCGCTACATCCACTCGATCGAGATCGACACTGAGGAGCACGTGGGCAAGCTGCAGTGGGCCAGAAGCAGTGGGGCAGTTCGAGCCTCATTGCTTGTGAAGAAGAAGAAGGAGAAAGGGAGAAAAGGAAGATCCAGGGAACGGAAGCAGCTGGTGGTGATAGTACCAGCCAAGTGGAAGTTTCTGAAGAAGGTTGAGAAGCTACGAGACCAGACAGACAAGGAAAAGATCTGTGAACTCATCGCCAACTGGGACTTCAAGAAGGTCCTAGACTACACCAAGTTGGAGATCAAGGAAGAGTTCGAGGACGGAGAGCCCAATTTGACCACCAGGACGTACTACCCCAGCGTGGTCTACATACAGGCGATGGCAGAGGAAAGTTTGAAGATGATCTCAACGGCCCTTGAGAGATTGACAGTGACGCAGAGTTCAAGCTCCTGGGCCAGACACTTGAAGACTCCGGATCTGTTCAAACCGGACACCCGGGACAATGAGCTGAAGCAATGGAGCGATTGGAAATTTTCCTTTGAGAACTACGTCAAAGGAACCGATGCACCCATGGCCTACAGCATGAAGCTCGTGGAGGATAACCTCAATGGGAACTATGAGCTGGACGAGATGACGGATGAAACGAAGGCACAGGCTATTCGTCTCTACAGCCTGCTGATCTCCTACCTGCGCAACAGGCCACTGAAGCTGGTCCGACATATGAAGCAGGAGAATGGCTTTGAAGCGTGGCAGAGACTCCTACGAGAGATGCAGCCTGTGACCAGAGCAAGATCACTTGCGCTCCTTACCCAACTATCGAGAGTCCAGTTCGCTGAAGGCAATTCGATCTCGGAGCAGCTGCCTGTGTATGAATCCATTGTGACAGAGTATGAGAGGATCTCAGGCCACACCTACGGGGATGACAACAAAGTGGCATCGATCCTTCAGGCAGTTCCGGCACACTTGAGGTCACACCTTCAGCTATGGATTACGGACACCACGACGTATGAACAGCTGAAAAACAAGGTCATGGAGCTCGAAGCACTGGCCACCAAGTGGGACAGTTCTAATTCGCTCAGCCTCCCTACCAGGATGTCCATGGACGAGACCGTGCCCATGGAGGTTGACAACATCCAGAAGGGGAAGAAAGGTGGCAAGAGTAAGTCAAAAGATGGAAAAGGAAAAGCAAAAGGCAAGGAGAAGGGCAAGACGAAGAGCGAAGGAGGAAAGGGTGCCTGGAAGACCGACAAAGGCAAGAACTTCTGGGACAAGAGTGGACATGGTAAGAAAGGCAAAACCCAAGAAAAGGGTGGAAAGACAGGAAAGCAGTCTGGTGCTTGCCACAACTGTGGCAAAGTCGGGCATTTTGCCCGGGAATGTTGGAAGAGAGTTGCCCCGATTGAGGAGACAGGAGGAGGACAAGCCTCGTCGTCTACGGGGCAAACAGGAGCAGCGCCCTCAGCGTCGACAACAACAGCATCAGTGAAGATGGTACGTATGGCTACACCGCCAGACACACCAAGTTTGGAGATCTTTGACCTCACGGCCTCAGGATCAGAGGACAATGAGTTCCCATGGAGAGTGGGAGCGATTGAGACAAAGTATGAAGAAAATGAGAGGGATGAAGAGTTCTTTGACTGCATCGAGCCCGTGGTGAACATCCCGGCGGGCATTGTGATTGTGGCCATGGACCTTCAGGACAATGAGGAGAAGCTGGTGCAAATGGTGAGCACTGGTTCAGAAGCTGGAGATGAGTGCCTGGTTACGCTCGACAGCGGTGCTGATATTTCAGTACTGCCCAAAGCCTATGCAGATGTTGGGCATTGGGCGCCAGGCTCAGCAAGCTTGAGGATGGTTGATGCTCAAGGAAAGCATATTGCACACAATGGTGTCACAAAAGCCAGGATCAGCACCACAGATGCAAATGGAAAGAAAGTTGAGATGGTGGAAGAGTTCGTGCTGGGGAACGTGCAACATCCGATCCTATGTGCCGGACGACTTCTACGTAGAGGTTGGAGTATTGAAGGGGAGAACGGCCAGCTTGGTCTGCAGCACAAAGAAAGGGGCATCCACGTCCCCATTAGTGGAGAAAGAAATTCCCTGCAATTCTGTGCGCGCATCTCTGTGGTGGAGATGGCAGGTGAGAAGGGAAGCAACAAGATAGAGTCGCGTGTTCTGGCTTTGCGAGGAAGCCTCAGCCGATACGTGAAGGACTTGGAATTGCAGCCAGGATGGCATCAGCTCCCCAACGGCATAGTAGCCTACAGTGATCCAGTGGCAGTGTCACTTGCCGATCCCCGAGGACAAATCGAGGAGGCATGGAAGTCGAGAATGACTTTGTTGAAGGAAAAGGAAGGCGCATGGATCCAGGTTGAGAACATTGAGGACTACCTGGACTTGGGATCAGAAGCCTTCAAGAGATTTGGGAATAATGGACCTCAAAGAACGATCACCTTCTTTGCACCCTCTATCATGGAGGATTACTGGGAGGAATCATCGGAGGTACCGGTCAGGCCATATCCAGAAGAGAAAAGGCGCGAACCACAAGCAAGGACAGACTGGTCTGAGGACGACAGAGAGGAGGAAGAGGACATGGAGGCAAAGATGGAGTTCCATGACATTGAGAAGATGGTAGTGGCGCAGAGGCCAAATGAAGTGGAGCTCGACGAGACCGTCTACACGGAGAAGATGAGTGTAAAAGACTTGCAAATTGCATGCAAAGAACGCCAGCTGTCATACAGTGGAAGCAAGAGGATACTGTTGGACAGGCTGGTCGCATTCAAGGTCAACTTGGAGAACAACATGAAGCTTGAAGTGGCAAGCAAGCTCTACAAGGAGCAGGAAAGGAAACCATTGGCACTTGGACAACCCCGACTGCCATCATTGAAGGAGCAGGAGATACATTTTGTGACTCATCTTCCATATGCTCCTTGGTGCCAAGCATGCGTAGCCACCAGGGCGAAGGAAGACAAACATGAAATGAGGGATGACAAACCAGACCAGGGCAAGAACGTGATTCAGATGGACTTCTTCTACACATACACAGGTGAGGAGAAGAGGATGGACGAAGCCCGGGTAGACAAGGTGACCGAAAGAGCTGACCAATATGGTACATGCTTGGTCATGGTGTCCTCAGAGACCAAGGCAGTACATGTTGTCCCCGTCCCATCAAAAGGAACAGCAAGCTTGAAGACTGTGACAGAGGATGTGGTGCGCTTCTCCTTGGAGAATTCCTCAATGGACGGGTGCATATTCCAAGGAGATGGAGAAAGGGCAATGAGGCAACTACTCCGGTCTGTTCAACAAGTCAGAGCCATAATGGGACTGCCGTGTGAGGTGAGGATGACAGGCAGCAATCAACATGCATCAAATGGCCAGGCGGAACGGGCAGTTCAGAACGTGAGGAGACTGGCCAATTGCATCCGCAGCTTTGCAGAGTCCAGGGCCCGTTTGAGCATCATGGGGAACATGCATGTGTACCCCTGGTCATTCAGGTATGCTGGATTCCTATTGAACAGATTCAGGGTCCTGGAGAAAGTCAACAAGACATCCTATGAGCTGGCGACGGGACATGGCTACCGTGGGAAGCTGGCTTTGTTTGGTGAGTCGGTGATGTTTAAAAGACTTGTGAAGTACAAGGCCAGCGATCTGTTTGAGCGAGGAGTATGGGTTGGAAAGCACAGCTGGAATGACAACCACATTGTGTTGAGCCCAGAAGGTGCATTTGAAGCTCGGCCGATCAGGAGGCTGGCAGCAGAAGAGGCATTTATAGCCACAGACATCGTTGTGGCGAAAGGCTTGCCGTGGAGTTACAGTCCACAAGGGATCCTCATGAAGCATGCAGGCCAAGCACAACGGTATAGACAGCCTACACTTGAGAACGAAGCCACGGAGGAGGAAATGAAAGCCCTCACAGATGCGGTAGCTGCAGGTGTTGTGACGCCAGCGCCTGGACTGAAGCCACAACCAATGACACCAGGAATGGCAATGACACAAGCGCTGCCACAGACACCAGGAGCCGAATACTCCAAGGAAGAGACCAAGTGATGGAGAAGGTGAAGAACCAGAGAGAAAAAGATTGGATGCAACGGATTCACCAAGGAAGGCCCATGACAAGAGGGAACCTGACGATGTTAGCCCAGGGACGGAAAAGAAGCAAAAGCTTGGTGAGGATGAAGGAGAGCAGGAAGGGTCAACGAGTCTGCCATCGAAGATCACAGCAACGAGGTCAAGAGAGGAAGGTGAGGAAATGGCAGTTAGCTCTCCAACCAAGGTGGCAAGGCTATATCCCCCGCATTATGCTGGCGTTCAAGCAATTGAGGCTCATGGAGACGAGGAGGTTGGCCAAGAGTTGATTCCGGAGGAAATCAATGAGGAGCTCTTCGCTGGATATGGCGGAAATGAAGATGAGGAGCCACCCATCACGTCAGATGAGCACCTACAATTGCTAGACGAGCAAGCAAAACGACATGAAGTGGAAAGAATGCTCCAGATGCCGGCCATGGAAAGGTCCAACAGGAGTGAAGTGGAGGAATGCGATGGCTACACCATTTCCACAAAGTTCGTCATCACCTGGAAGCACAGGTTGGAAAAGGGTGGATGGTTTCGACGGGCACGTTTGGTTGCGAGGCAGTTGAAGAGTAGTGTAGACCTTGACCAAACATTTGCCCCTACGTCGATCACGGTCCTGCCCAAGATGCTCATCCATTTGATGATCAACGTCTTTAAGCACTTCAGGGCCATGACTTTGGACATCAAGGATGCCTTCCTGATGGCAGATCAACCGGCAGAAGAGAGAGCTTTCGTCGAGCTGGATGGGCAAATCTACAGACTCATCAAATGTCTACCAGGCCAGAGGACTGCAGCATCTCAGTGGTTCCAACTGTTCGTTGGAGCTGCGAAGAAGTTTGGATTGAAGCAGGATGCGATACAGCCCACCTTGCTGATGATGGAGAAAGAAATGTACATCACGGTCCATGTTGATGACATCTTCATGGTGGGGAATGAGGCCACGTTGAAGAGCTTCGTGCAGTACATGCAGAAGAAGAAGGGGTGGAACATTGAAGTCAAAGGGCCATTCAACATGAATGAGAAGTTCCACTACTTGAAAAGAGAATTCTGGCCTGGAACCGAAGGATGTGACATCAGGTGCGACTACAAGCAATATGAGAGCCTTGCAAAGGACACTGATGTGTACAAAAAGGCCTACAGGAAGACCCCCATGGACCAGAACTTCGCCAAGAAGGATGAGAGCCCGCTGCTGGAGGCCGAGGACATCACCAAATACCGCAGCGTGGTTCAGATTGATGTATCTGGCAGGCGAAAGGCCCGACGCACAGTTCAGCATCCAAAGCTTAGCAAGAAGCATGGCGAAACCCACGCACCAAGCATGGAAGAACGCGTGGCATGTGTGCTCATACCTGCAAGGCGCCATGGGCTTCGGCGTGAGGATTGGCCTGCGAAAGAAGGGCCAGTCGGTCATGGATGTGAGAGATCAAGAGGAGGTGGATGAGAAGGAGAAACACTTGATCGAGGTGGTGACCGACGCCGACTATGCAGGTAATAAGAACGACAGACGGAGCACTACATCATTCCAGATCTTCATCGATGGAAACTTGATGGAATCCAGGGTGCGATCACAGAAAGCAATAGCTTTGTCCTCAGGTGAGTTTGTGGCCATTGTGGCAGGATGCTCTGACGGGATGCTAGTTCGGCACCTTTGGATGGCTATGGTTGGTGAGCCATGCGACATGAAGGTTCGATCTGACAGCTCAGCCGCTCGAGCAATGGTACAGCGGCAGGGAATTGGTCGAGTACGACATCTAGATGCAGCACTGTTGTGGGTGCAGCAAAAGGAGAGAGAGAAGATCTTCAGTGTGAGCGCCATTGGCACCGAGCTCAATTGTGCAGATATCGGCACAAAGAACCTCACGAGGAGCCGACTCTTTGGACTGCTGTTCATGCTGAAGATGGTCAACGGCATTGGAGACCGCATTGGTCAACAAGAGTTCAAAGATTTGGAGTACAAAGAGAGAATGAGGAAAGCCACCAGGAAGATCATGAAGGTGAAGGACTTGCACGTGGGACTACTGATGGTCCTGTCAAGGCTGGATGAAGCAGCAGGAAAGGACCCCGAGAAGGAAGAAGAGGGATATGATTGGAGCTGGATGGTGCTTACCCTATGCGCAGTGATTGGGGCCTTGAGCATTGGGGCATGGCTGCGGCGCTATGTGTTTGAATCCTTCCTGGGCAAGGGCTGGCACTACATCATGGAATTCGTGGCGGCCAAGTCTGGGAAGGGGAGCCAGCAGAAAAGGCTGGGAAGGAACTGTGTGGCCACTCAGGCCCATCAAGAAGGCTTGCGATCCTACCTACAAGCCTATGAGGAAAATGAAGCCAAGATGGCAAAGAAGCTGCATGATCAAGAGCTCTACATCGAGGAGCTGGAGAGTGGAATAAGGGAGATTTGCTTGCAGCGGCAACAGGCTCTAAAGGAGCTTGAGATCTCAGAAGCATACGGTCTGCGAATGCTGAAACAGACCACAGAGTACAGAGTGTCACAACGGGGAAATGTGATTCACTTTTGCGCAAGATGCCCATTTTACGAGCATGCGCGTGAATTTCCCCTCTGTAAAGTTTGCCTGACCGAAGGGACGGTGTTTGACAGTCATGAGCGGTCACTCGGTCAGGCATGACACGCACAAAACAAGAAGTGCACAAACGCTACTGTATAGGCCCAAGCCGAGAAAGAAATTTCGCTTCGCATATACTATACATACAAACGATATATTTTTTCTTCCCTTTTTGCTCTTGCCAAACATGTCAAACCTCCGTGCACCTTGTGCAAACGGCTGATTGGATGAAATGCAAGAGACTTGTTCTTGCAATGAAGCTGGCAGCGGCTGAAACCACTTTAAAACAATGGTTTCTTTGAACCGCGCTTCAATTTCAGACCTATCCCACCACTGGTGGATTGAGGTTTCTGGATGTGATGCAAGTGCCTCACCTGCTTCAGGACATCGGCACCTCCTACAAGCCTGGCTACGGGGGTGGCTGGCGTTCTGAGGACTCTTTCGTGGAGTTCGCCAAGGCCAAGATTGATGAGCTCCAGGCAATAGGGATGGCGGTGGTTGGGCTCCAGACCGGTGGACAGGATGAACCAAGGAGTCTTCGGCTAGGCAGGGAAGCAAACAAAGCCGTGACCAAGAGTGGCTGAAGCGCCCCAGTGGAGGGGAGACGACACAGCTGGTTCAGAAGCTACTCTTATCTGGGCTTTGTTACGTGCGGTCTGTCCATTCTGTTTCATTTTTCTTTTTGCCTTGAAACCTTTGACTACCTTTTCGTCTCCTACCCTGCCTCACTGTTTTCTCTTGTATGGTAGGCTATGCGGCAGGCTGACCCTGCAGAGCTAGCTAATTATTTGCCCTTTATGTCAGTTTCCCAAATCGAACTGTTAACAGTGCTTTCCTTTTGCTATTGGTTCTTGAATTCTTGAATTCTTTTCAGGTTTTGGGGGGCTTGCATGTGGTTTGGTGGGCGCCTGTGCGAGGCTTTTTGGTCCTGCAGCGGTTCGGTGGTCAGTGACCGCCGCGGGCGTTGTCAGCAGGGAGCACTGGAAGTGCCGTGCTTGGGATGAAGTTTTGTTCAGTTACGCGAAGCGGCCGAAAGCAGAATCAGTAGTAGTCAGAATGAGCAAACGTTTCTGATTTATGTATATAGTTCAGTTGGTTGGTCTCCTCCGAAACTGGGCTTCTCGCAACTGAAAGGAGAGTCCGCTGCTATGGGGATTCCGTCCAGTTTCGTCTCCCATCTCTGAAAGGATTCCAAAGTACGTCAGTCAACGGCGTTTGTTGAAGTCAGTCAACCTTCTTGACCAGTTCAGACTGGCCCACTAAGCCATACTAAGCCTACTCCCCTTCGCAGTTTTCGATCTGGGCATTTGCTGAAACGACGATGTTTCGGCTGAGGATTTCATCATTCACCCGATCTAGCTCAGCTATTCACATTCACGATGGCTTGATCGTGTTCGAGAAGCACTACAAGGAACCTGCGATCTCCCTAGAGACTGGATTGAAGAGACTGCCCAAGCGTTTCGAAGGCTACAGCGCCTATCGACCACATCTGGCGGATTGGACGCCACCGGAGGGTTCGTGCAAGGTACCGCAGCCTTTCGAGCTGGACATCATCCACGAGTCTTTCCGCAGCCGGGCGAACCAAACCTTCTCCGAACACGTGGAGTCCTTCATGAACCACGTCTCCGCAATGGGAGCAGCGGAGTTGAGGCAAAAGTGTGGTGAGATCATGTCTGTGCTCCAGGATGGTTTGCATTGGTCGGCCTTTGGCATGGATTTTACCTTGTTGCAGCTGAAACGGCGAAGTGTCAGCGTGGAATGGAATGCTTCAACGGAGACGCCTCTGGCACGATTCCTCCGGTCCACTGAGAGAGATGTTCGGGAGGTGCTCGACTGGTACTTTGACAAAAGAGGCGACTGGGCAGTACTGTAGGACCTTTGGACATCCCTGTTCCTCGTTCCTCGAAGCAGTGCCCTGGACCCCAAGGTTGCCAAGGTTATAAGGATTTTGGTGGCAGTGGGCATTGCTCACTATACCAATATTTCAAGGTTTTGGGCGACTGAGATGGGCTGGGGGATTCAACGTACTTCATTTCCGACCTTCCTCCTTTTGACCTTCTTGTGAGGTTAGGACAAATGAAGCCCATAGCTACCTATAAAATCCTTTTGTGAAACATGCATCTGCATTCCTTGGACCGATGGCCAAATCAACTGTGGGTCTAAGCCTGGGACCTGCCCCAGAACATTAAAGAGAGGGTTAGCAGTGGATGGTTTTGGCGGTTTTTGGTCATCCCAGAAAGCTACTTTGGCAGGCGCAAATTTGATGTGATAATGAGGTACGATTGTACGATTATTCGGCGTCGGTGTCAAATGGATGTATGCAGGTCTTGCAGCTAGCATGGATGTCAGAAACCTTGAAAACGATTACCCCTCACTCTTTCCAAACCGCCCCAAACGTCCAAGACACCTACGCATTTAATTCTTCCAACACGAGCTTGCATCATTAGCATTTCTACTATCCAAGTTATCAGTTTTATCCTCCAACTGACTTCTTCACCACACCCCTTCACCAACGAAGTGGATCCGGAAAATTCTCAGAGGGTTGGCGGTTGCAGGTGATTGCAAAGTCAACAAACTTTGTGTTTTATATACAGATAGATAGATAGATAGATAGATAGATTAGATTAGATTAGATTAGATTAGATAGATCGAACATCTTTGATTCAATAACTTATTAGAACCTTCCGTTCAAGTCGTCGACGAGGCATTGAGTATGCAGAGGTTCAAGGATAAATCCAAGACTCTGAAGACAAGAACAATCACGAGTCACTGGAGTCTCATTGACTATCGTGCGCCAAGAGTCTCATTTTGTTCTCCCTTAATCGGTCAAATCTCATCACGCATGGGTGCTTTTGGCAAATATCAATAAAGGCTTTAGGTGTTCCATGGACCTTATTGCCTTGGGTTCTTGATCCGCCGACCTCTCCAGGGACCTTCCATCCGCTAGTCCTGGTCGATTTGATCTACCGGAATCGTTGGCGCCCAACGCCGCAAGCGTTGCGCTTCGCCCGGGCGCGGGATGCATTGCAGCCACTTGGTGTTTAGTTTATCCACTGTGGCATGCCTCCAACCTACTGGCAATGGCCTCCAACCTACTAGTACCGGATAGGGATCCCTAGGGAGCGAAGTTTGTTGGACACATGCAGTTGACATCTTCGGTAAGACTAACACAGGCCAAGCGAATGAGTTGTGGGATATAAACGTGGACCTAAGCATTAAGGGCAAACAGGAGTTTTGTCGTTGTACCACAGAGGATGGCTAGTGACCTGTTGTGGGATTTGGTGAAGCTTTTTTGCTCAGGACATGATGCCGCTTGCAAAAGTCGTGTTCAGTGGGAGTTGGCTCAATTGGTACAAGGTCAAAAAGTATGGCTATGGGCTTAGCAGAAAAGGTCAATATGTGTACTGTGTATTTACCTCCAAAAAAGTATGAGTAAGACAAGCATATCATCAGAGAGGGTTGAGTGGGAGATCTGTTTCAATCTGTGAAGTCATTTTATGCAGGACTTAAGCCCTCAAGTCCATTGATAGTCTTTCGATACCCTGACTCACGGTTCTTCCACATGGACCTATCCCATGGACGCCACACCCAGACACGATGTTGAGGTTGCAACGCGAAGGCTTCGTGCGCTTTGAGGACTTTGGCTTGGACCTGGCCTGGCTCCAAACTGAGGCCAGCGCTGCCTTCGCTGCTTCCGCGTCGACGTCGCTGGTGCAGGCAAAGCAGGTGAGACTGCAGAGCCTGGTGTCTCGGTTTGTGCTGGGACTTGGTCGCTTGGTGGGATGTTGGGAGGACAGGGGATGACACGTTTTTTACGTTTTTTTTTTGGTTTGATTTGGGGTGGGCTTCTTGGGCACTACGAGCTTTAGCCAAGGAGCCTTTGCTCAAGGATTATGGGATTCTAGAGCTCACCGCCTTCTATTTGGGCGCTGATGTGGAAGTCACTGGCTACAAACTGCTGCGTGTGAGGGAAGGCACCACTCGAGCCGATTACATCTCCAGCTTTTGGCACCATGATAACTGTGGAAGCCGCCTGAAACTCTTCGTCTTTTTGCAAGATGTGGGTGGCTTGCCAGCTAGATGAAAGTCGGGGGTACAGAAGGCAAGCTCTTGTTTGTGCCTTCTGAAGCCTTCTGAAGCCTTTCCCCTAATTTTGGAGCCAACGACTTTTTAGCAGTTGTTCGGACTACCAAGGAGAAGATGGCTACTACACAGAAATTGCCCGAGGAAGTCAAAGCTTGGCGTATTACTGGTACGGCCCTGCCCACATGTCGCGCTTCGATGATGCTAGTGTTGAGGCGTCCTTCAGCATTGAAAAAATCCTCAGCCGACGTGGAGGTGGCTTCCTGTTTGACACCAATACGATCCACAGGGCGAAGGCTGGGGAAAAGCACCTTTAGCTGGAAATAGAGTCAAAATCATGAGAGTTGGAGGATGATCTCGCACAATCTCCCACAATCTCACTGAGAAAGTTTATGGATTGCTAGCGATTGGCAACCTTCTCATGGATGTTGGCACGATGAGGGGACATGTCATTTTTCGCTGATTTGACTTGCCCAACACTTTCCTCCCTCCAACGAACCCTGCCTTGCGCAAGGTGGAAGGCCCGGGACAGCTGCGGGACGCTGTGATTGTGGAGCTGGCGAACGCCCACAAGATGCATGCGGGGATCCCGGCCCAAGGACCTTGCCCGGAACCCAAGACCTACAAGGTCTCCCACGTCTCTTTCCCCTTCCCCAGCGGCCGCGGCTTTCGCCAGCGACGCCCGGGGTTTTAGCAGCGCCCAAAGTGGCACAAAAGATATGGGGTGAGGCGAAGGGAAAGGCTCTTTTTTGGAGGCTCAGGCTCAGGAGGTAATAGTTACATTACATGTTTTTGCACAGCCATTGTCGGATTCAGCCAGTGATGTTTTTGCAGAACGACAGCACCAGTCTCTCCAAGCATCTGGCAACCTTCGTGTGAATCAAATTGCTTTGGGCTCTCAGCAGAAGGGTTGCTCATATTGCATGGAAAGGTGCTGAGAAGGCTGACCTGGCCTGTTTCTTTGGCAAGTGTGGCTTCTAAATGCCACCATGTCAGTATTGATGTGAATGATCATGCCGGCAGGGTGGGCGTTTGCCCCTGGGACGGCCAAATGGCATCGTCCTCAGCGTTCAAAGAACTACTAGGCGAGATGTATATAAGGACGGGATAGGACGGGCAAGCACAGACACGCAGGTCAACATGGGCCGCATTGCAGCCTCATGGTTCCTAATTCTATTGTTTGTCACAGATTCGTCAAAGTTTCTTGCTAAAATTCTTCCACAAGCAGAGACCCTTGATACATAATATATACTGTATAATTATAGATCCCAAGTTTACAGATGGGCAGGTGAAACACATGCAAGAGCCCCCAAGTTCTTTGCAACTTCCCCTAAATGGTATGGAATCGGTGTTCGCATGTACCTGGTGCAAGAAGTCATTTTGTGTAAAGATAAGGCTTTTTCAATGCCCACCAATCACTTTTTGTTTTTATATTTGATTGATTGATTGTCAGGGTGGCCATAGACCAAGGTCCACAGCAGCGCCGTGCTACGGGTGTGGTAGCCTGGAAGGTAGGGGGCGGCGTGACAGTCCGACTCTTTGGTAGTTTTTCGAGAATCTCTCGGTCACGTTGGGCCACTGAACTTAAACCTGTCAGACTAGTGGTCATTTTTCAAGAATCTTGTATCTCCAGGAAACTTGTGTGTGGGTTTTCTCCTGTAGGTATACAAGTTTCCAGACAGGGTTGACAACAAACGAGTAGATCTGTGGTGGGTGTCCAAAGAGGGACCACATAAGCGAGTTGAGGACTTGTGATGCCAGAGTTGGGGTCACTGAGCTCTTGGAGTCTCCTGATGACTTGTAGGGCATTTTGCGTTGGAGGCCATCGCTAGTAGGTTGGAGGCCACTACAGTTAGGTTGGAGGCCATCGCCATTAGGTTTCAGGCCCCAGGCCCCACTTCTCTCAGCTGTTTCCACGCACCAGCTGTGCTGAGGTGAGAATCGAACCAGGCATCCCCAAACTACTGGTGAAGATCAACCCCATTGATGCGGAAGCGTTCCATGTGCCTGCACCCAGAAAACCAGTGGGTTGAGGACCTTGCGACTTTGCTTGGAAGTCAAGGAACCGGCAGGTTGATTTGCAGTGAATTCCTGGTTGGGACCTTCAACACTTTCAGACACCAAAAAACCACAGCAGACGACTAGCGTGATTGACAGCGGATTGGGCATAGAACAGCGTGATTGTCCAAAGCACAAGTTTATAGAAGGGAATCGTGGCGTCGTGGACATGGCCTTTGTTTGATCGGCACTGATGTTGCGGATTCAAAAGGAAGTCGCCTGTCTTTCATTTTTCACACCAACAAACAATCTGGGAGATCAACAACAAAATTGACCTTTGCAGTTTTGATCTGCTGCAAGATGCCAAGTCCTAGCTTGTTTGTCGCTCTTGGTTGATTCTCGCCGCTGAGGCCAAGAATTTGGGTGAAGTAACTCTTCGCAAAGGCGTCACAAGCCGAAGCCAGGCCGTGAACTCAATTGGGTTGTTAGGACAACGTCAGTGGGGGCCACAGGCTTTCCCATCATGGTCGTTGAGTTTGGGCACTTTAGTGGTACAGTGGCCCTTGGAACAGGGACCCTAGGCACTGCACTATGTATGCCACACCGCCGCCCGTTTTCGTTCACGTTCCTGTCGGTTTGTTTGTATATCTACTTTGGGGCTTGTGTTTGAAGGTTGCTTCGGGATTTTGTATGGTTTGGTGTTTTTGCTTGAAGTCTGTTTGTTTATGGTGCCTGGATGTGCTGGTGGCTTTATATAGTTGAATTACTTGAAGGATCTTTCTGTAGTAGAGTGCTTCGCCTTTGCATGCTGTGCTTGCTTGGTTACGGTGCTTAGTGCTTAGGCCTTCTGTTTCTTTGGCTCAGGTTTGCTCTTTTGAGGATTTGGGCTTCTTCATTATTAATGTTTCTGTTTATAGGTTCGATTACTTAGGGTCTGTTTTGTTTGTTTATGATGCTTTGGATTTGGGTTCTTTGTTTGGGCTCCTTCAATTTACGGCAGGCCAAACACGAACTCGAACCCGAACCTACTCCGCCATCGACTTCCAGACACGAACCCAAACCTGTTCTCGTTCACGATACCCAGACTCCGGAGCAGTAGAACCTACATTTGCATTTTTACAATCGGGCGAATCAGCAGTCATCCAAGGATTCAGAACATAATGAACCCGCCACCGTGAGGTTGCAGTTCTGCACATGAGCCGGCAAACAGTGAAGGGAGAGGCTGAGTGTTTGTTTGTCGTGAGATGCATTGACTGGTGCCTTGAGAAAGCCAGCACGATCCAGTGCATTTTTGCGTGATGCAAGCAATTGAACATAGGGCATCAGAGGGCAATCTGGGCAATCTGGGCAATCAATATTGATTTTCAGCTATCCCGGGATTGTGGCTTGAAAGCGACCCAAGAATGAGGAAGAGGTGCTTTGACTCACCGTCACGCAGTTCCATTCACAGGGTCTCAATTGTTTTCACTCAGGCAGTTCGGTTTGACGCGATGGTGTCACTGTGTCACCGTGTCGTCCGAGAAAGTGGGAGGTCAAAACTTTATGTGTTCTAAATCGGTACCAACGGAACCACTCTGCCGTCACCTAGAAGCCACCTAGAAGTCATACTATGGAGTCTCCCCTTGAGATTATATAGGAAAAAGGACAACTGCTCTCTTCAAAAAGTTGCTACTATAGGTTGGAGGCCATCGCTATTCGGTTGGAGGCCGTCGCTATTCGGTTGGAGGCCATCGCTAAAAAGGACAACTACTCTCAACAAAGCTGCTACGAGCCCCTAGCCCTGAACGCCCCACCAAACCGCACTCCCCGGAGGTGCTGATGTCTGTGAAGCTGGCTGACCTCTTGGACCTGGAGGCTGCACCCCCTGGCACCTGCGAAAACTGGATGAATCAATGGATGCCGCTGCATGCAGCTGGGTCCATGGTATATACGGTAGTCGGTAGTAGTATTTACTTGCAACTAGTAGCTTCTTGTTCCTATGTTCTAAGCATTGTCTGGAAGGATCGGAAACTCAGCTTTTCTCGCAGATGTCAACTGCCGTGTCTGAGGGTTTTCACTTTCAACTGCAATCATTTTGCATCAACTTCTTGCAGGTAGAACGCGATTGTGCATGTTCAGCATCAGCACACATTCCCCATTGTCACCTCACCCGCCACAAACAGGATGGAGAGGGCGTGGAGGTGGCACGTAGACCAAGCAAGCTTTCGACCAACCCACCGCTGGGACCTGCTTGGACAAGCTCCACTGAGGTTAGCTCAACCGACCTTTAGGTTCCTTTCAATTTGACCTCCAAGAGCTGTCCAGAAAAGTTCTTTTCAGATTGACACTTTAGAAGTTAGAAGATTCAGTCCTGCAAAATGGAGTGGGCGATGTCATCACCTTCTCCCTACGATGCAAAGACCAAGGTGAAATGCTCAGTCTTGGGACGTTTCTTGAGAGGTAAGAGGCAAGCAGCTTGTTTCAGGAGCATAACATTATCAATTTAAGCAATTGGATCCTTTTCAAGCCATCCGGAAAGGTTGTTCCAGCATTCCGGCCTTTCCTCCATTCTTTCAGTCACTGATATCCCATATATATATATATATCATTTTACTATATATAGAGCTTTCGACGGCAGACGGAGCACTTTGGCGATGTTCGAGCTTCTGCCACTCGTGACACCTAGACATGGAGTGGAGAAAACAGTGATGGGGATTCATGTATAACATTTATATAGAATCTGAAGAGATCTGAAAGTGAAAAACTTGTGCATTCCTTTTTGAAAGTTGACACTGAAAGTGGGTCACTTCGGTCTTTTCTTTGACTTTGCATCACCGAAAGACTCCCCAAGTGATCCACTTTTCTTTGACCAGCACTCTCACGCTGTCTGAGGCCGCGGCCGTCTCGGCCGGGATCCTCCGGGTTTGGGGGCTTTTGAGATCGATTGCGGGACGAAGATTTGGGGACTGACGGTTTGTTGGATATGTTCAGAGTTGTGTTCTATGCATTTCTATTTTTGATATCGTTTTTTTTGGGCAAGCTCTTCAGATTTTCCGAGGGAATGATGCTCGACACCGGTGTCATGCCAAGCTGTTGATAGATTTTGAGACTCGTGGAGAGTTTCCAAAGGACAGTGAGCCACAACAACCTGTGCATATTGTTGTTTGTGGTAGTGCATGACCTGGTTGATGAGGGCCTTTGGTCATAGTGTCACAAAGCATTTTTGTAGATGGAGATAACTTAGACATTCTTTCTTTGCAAGGAAGCAAGGGCGAGCCAGTCCCAGTCCCAGCATTCATAAAGTTTTCTTTATCCCCTGGTATCTCCCAAGCTTGTCCACTTGTCCAATCTCTTTTTCATTATTTTCTTATGGTCTCCTCATGGCTTGCTGTCCGACTCAGTCCTTTACCTCCAGCCGAAGAAGTTCGGTGGCTGCGGGGCCCAGCATGACCAGGTTTGCTTAAAGTCTGATGCTCTTCAAGGGAGCTGCCAGACATCTCCCCAAGCCTCAGACAGGTGTGTCTCACTCCTTTCTTGCAGGAACATTCTTTCCCTACGTTGCAGGGAGAGGTACATGTGTGGTTCAGCTTTCAAACGTGAGATGTTGCCGCAAAGCAGCCCATGGGGTCTGACCTCAACGGGTGCGCTGCGTGCGACTGTGTTTGTTTTGGCCAAGGGGCACGGGCTGCGAGTCGGATTGAACCTGAGCTAATGCACATTCTAACATCATTGAAGGCTAGACCCTTGCGTATCTTGTACTGCTAGTCTCCACTTGCCTGATCTCAGGGTTGTCAATGACTTTGTTTGGTGCCAGCTGGTGACAAGCAGTAGAATCACAGATCACAGATGTTTTTCGAGCATATGTTCAAGTTAGCAAGTCAGGCCTTCTGTGAAATCCGGCCCTGTCCACTTCCAGAAGCAAGTCCGCACTTGGATTCGATTGTGGCTCTCTTCAAACCCATCAGCCCGAGTGCGCCCGACCACTCGGGGGATGCTAAGCACCGGTTTGTAGGGGAATTGGAACTTTCAAAGATACAATTGTAATCTATGTATAATATATAATATACACATAGACTTGCAAGTTCAAAGCGACATGTCCAGCTTGCATGGAGACATCACTTTCCAAGGCCTCATGTTCCTTGTACTTTGAGGGACCTACTTGTAGGCTCAGCGTTGAACATCTATAACACAGACAAAGCAAAACAGGTCGTCCAATGGTCTCGCAATGGCTTCACCTGCTGTGCAGGCTCTTGAGCTATACTGTGATCCGTTCTTCGTGGATGGCCCTAAACATCCGTTGGGTCAGTGCGGCCGGCAAAGATGATGCAGGTGAGTCGGGCGTGGTGAACAGTGTTGAAAACGTCTGGCCGATGGTGGTGATGCGTGTCTCCCCCTTGCAGTCGGCCGGAGGCTCGCAGACACAGAGCGACTGGCTAGGAGGATTGGCTGAGGTCGGAGAGCAAGGATTTCTGAGATATCTCAAGGAGGTCATCCCGTTGGAGCTGAAGTTGGATCAACCGTTTGCAGATGCCTTCCACATGGCCGACGAGAGTCGATGGAACCTGGGATTTTTCCGATGGCAAAAGCGAGTCTATTCGAAGGTGCACAAGGTCAGTGTGCAAGAAATCCTTTGGGATGGCAAGCCAGTCCCCGCTCTTCCGGGTGTCAACTACCAGTGGGAAGAGCTTCACAAAGCAAAAAGATTAAAGTCTCTTGTGAAGAGCATCAGCGAACATCTCGGTGCCTACAAAAAGGTCGCAGAAGCGAACCTGCAGGTGGACCGCCGAGGTGGATTTCGTTTTATCCCATGGGTGGAGGTTTACAGACCCGGCGAGTTCCAGCATCCGCATGCGCATACTGGGTCTCCAGTGGTGGGCATCATAGCTTTGAAGTGTGGCTTTGAAACTCAGCGAATGATCATTGAAGATCCCAGAGGTATCAATCCTCCTTTTGGACGGAAATACCAACATGCGTTCAAACAGGGAGACATGATTTTGTTCCCATCCTGGGCTTCTCATTTCATGGACCCCAACAGACACAATGAGACTCACGTCTTTCTGAGCTTCGCAATTCAAGGCCCAGGAGGCGTTAAAGAGTTTGATTGGGAGGATGATGGCATAGGCTCGTTGGTGAAGACAGTTCGCAAGACGATTCGGGCGACGAAACAGCCGGTCAAGAGCACCGCACGAAGCCAGCGAGAAGAATTATGAAGATGCGAAACGAAAAAGGGAGAATGACGCCTGTCAAATCTGGGTAGGTCTGTGGAGGAACAGCGAACATGGTCTCTTCGCTAAACTGCTTCAAATCGCTAAAACCCTATCCAGCAGCAAACGCTGTAATCCCATGCGACCGGGCCGCCTTTGTCATTTCCGACCCAGGCGAGCGAGGGCCCTCGAGGCGAGCAGCCCACACACAGGCGAGCTCGGGCGGAGCGGCGAGGCGGAGCTCGGAGCGAGGCATTTAGGGACAAACACACCTCAGAGGACGCTACTAGGAACAAGAAGACAAGAAGCTACTAAGGGCTCCTGGCCTTACTGGTGGGAGCAGGGGCGCTACTAGGGGCTCCTGGCATCGCTACTAGTAACAAGAAGCTACTAGGGGCTCCTGGCATCGCTACTAGGAGCAAGGACGCTACTAGGGGCTCCTGGCCTTACTACTAGGAACAAGAAGCTACTAGGGTTGGGTGCACCGGCTGGCCGTGGGAGTGAAAAAGAGTCATGGCGTGAAAGAACGATTCTCAGTAGGATCGAATCTTGAGATATCTTGAGTGTAGTGAAGTTCTTGGTGAAACACAAGAGTGGACTCAACATGCTTTGGGCATCAGTGGGTCTCACTTTTTGGTGAACTGATTCTCCAACCCTGAGCCTGCCAGGTTGCCTCAGCCTTCGCCCGTGTGGTCGAATGACTCAAAGTCGAGCGCCCAGGGCAAGACGCTGGGCCTCCAGGTTTCGTCATCAGGTTCTCTTGGCTTGTTGGCTCAACGCCCAAAGAGACACATTGAGGAGGAAAAGGTGAGCTTGCAAGAACTAACAACACGACAGGATGATGGAGGCCACCCAGCAGGAAGGGTTGCAATTTTGTTCATTTACTGATTCAAGCTGGAGTCACCAGCGTTGCCAGAAGAAACTCGAAGTGAGGTTGGAGATGGGGCAATTGAATTTGATCCCTCCATGTAGGGATGGACAAAGGCCAGGATTGGAGGAGCTCTGAGGCGTTTGTGCGTTTTTGGGTGTGGTCACAAATCAGTCCCATCACTCGAGGGTTCCTCCCGTCCACAGCTTCAGGCCAAAGCCCAGCTTGGATCCGAACGAGTGGTTTAGGACAGGTGGGGGGAGGCATGACGAACTCTGGTAGGGCATGTTGGATACGGCCAAGAAGACAAGCACAGGCTAAAGTTGGAGATAGTCCCAATCTGACCTATCTAGTGAGTGTTCCATTCCATAGCTCATGTTGTGCTGCGACCGGAATTTCATGCTGGTGGTTGATATGACTATAGGACCTTGAGCCTGTATTGTTACTTATATACCAAGTGAGTGTATGCTTGAGATTGAGCTGAGGTCTTGATTGAGATGTTCACAAGCAATTTGGTTGACCATGCCGAACATTTGATCCACTTGTGCTGTTCCTGCAATCAACGTTTGGCTCACTTGGCCTCAGCGCAAATCCGCAGGTACTCGTACCTTGCAACCGAGTTTCACCCACCAATGCAACACCGATCTCTGATGACGCTGGATGATTCTGTGGTGGAAGGAGTTCATGCCAAGGAGGAGTTTAAGGTGTTTTTTTAGAGGTGTCACCATGCGTTCATTGTATAGTGAAAAAGCAAGTATATAAAGTGCCCACATCTCTTAAGGGGCTTCGCTATTTTTATCTATCCCTGCTTTGTTTGGAAGGTTGTAAGGCAAAGCTGCATTGAAGTCTTGCACGGTACTGGACCAGAGCCCTTTTCTAGTAGACCAAAGGTAATGTTTGCAATGGCCTTCTTAATCACATTGTCCTAATGTTCATCTTCACTGATTTTTGCATTATATAATTCTTCAATGGCTTTCTTATACTTCACCTTGTGTACATGAGAAGGCGTCTTATAGTATAATATGTTCATAACTACTCCTCTCTTGGCGAACTTCTTCAGATGCAAACCATAAACTAAGTTAAACTTTTTGTTAAAGAATATGTTTCCATGACATGCCTGAACTAAATACAGTGTATAATCGCCCAGATTTCAAAAATCACATTCCAAATCATAGGGCTTCCAAATATCAAACTCCCCGAAGACAGGAGTTTTTGAAATCTCACTGGCTGAATGAGTGAATGCCTTCCTCTTGTCAATACTGCATGTCTCACTATCTCTTATACGGTCATGATATAGGTAGCCATTCTTTATTGTCATCAATTTGAATTGACCATTTGCTACTATTGTCCTGCTCCCATCCAATATTTTTACATCGGTTTCATTGTAGTCTGATTGATGATTTTCAGACATAAGTTTCTTATGAAACTTGAACATCTCATCACTAACTCTGTTATATTTCTCCTCTGTATTTACTGCTATGTCTTCATCAATCTTGTCTGTGTTTAAGTCTTGACTCACTATAGTGTAATCAATTTTTTCTGCTTCTTACCTATCTTAAATGTCAGGTTCATTTTGACATTCACCACTTTGCCTGCCCCGTATCTAATCAATGGTTCATACCCAGCCTGCGTTAAATCAAACATAAGTTTATCCAAATCATTATCCTTCAATATCCTTATATATTCATCTTCTTCATTCATTTTAAGCAGGTCATCTATAGATTCTAACATCCTACACTTCATTGCTTCCTTTTGTTGTTGATGAAGTAGTTGCTGCCAATTTTCAGGTTGTTGGGGTTCTCATCTTTAGTTTTAGCCTTCAGGCTTTCTAAACTATGATTTAGTGTTTATACCTGACTGTTTTTGACTAAAGCATTGAAGGTTGCAATTCTACAGCTGTTAAAGCCTTCAGGGTCATGTCTGTAAATCTGTTTGCCATCAATGTCATATAATCTAGCCTTAATATTGAATTCTTTGAAGACCTTATGCATGTTAGATATTGATGCCCCTCTCGTTTTAAACTCTTCATCACTCTTCCGAATTAATTTTAGTATGGCTTCTCTGGTCAGGTTCTTAGCCAGCTTCCCCCTTTTATGTCTCATCAGGCTATCCGCATGGTGGTCTAGCAATGTATGTATCCAACATTCATTTTCAATATGGTCTTTTTTCTTGATAGCATCCTTGAACCTTAAACAGTCTGGGTTCACTTCAATTTGAATGTATTGATTGAAAATGCTCACATTTGTTTTTGAGTTAGTGAGTTCATCAGCGAAGATGTCATAGTTGGCATCATCTTCATCAATCAGCTCAGCACTCTCAATCCTAATAAATCTGCATAATGATAAAACTCTCCCTCCATCAATTCTTCAAAAGATTTATCAGTCCTCATTATAGCCATCATTCTTTTGAACCTTGCTCTGTCTGAAAACCTGTCCACCTTTACCTTGACCATACTCTCTATGAACTTCTGAGCCTTGACATTTCCTGTCCTTACAGTGTTTGGTACCACTATTGGATAGTATCTGCGCCCATCATTTATAAAACTGTGTTTCTTTGCACATGACATATTCTCAGTTGAAGAAAAGCATGTATTTGACAACATACAGCTTTCTGTTGGCTAACACTTTTTCTCTGAAGGTTTTGGTGAGCGTGTCTTTGAGTGCCTCTGGGCTATTTTTTTGTCTAATTCTCCTGTTTACTACTGCCCTCGTTCTTCCTGCTACCGCCTGTTCTGTTGCCTTTTTTACTTTTTCTCTTTCACCTATTGGTACCGCATCTTGGTATTTTTATTGCTTTGTCAAAGGCTTTCACTCCCTTCTTTAGGTCCTTGTCATTGGTTGCAGTGACACCTTTTATCAATTTTTCAGCAGTGCCATGTTGGACAATCTTCCTGTCCTCATAAAGGTCAATGACAGTATTGATTTTTTGAAGTGTAGCAGTGTCAACCCTACCTCTTTTCCTGTCTCTTATGTTCCTTAAACTGGTAATATGTTTTTCTATAGAATTTTTTTGTCATATAATACTTTATATTAAGATATAATAAGCTTAAAGCTTTGAAACAACAATCATTTAATGTTATAAACTATTTATTATTTAGTATCTTTTAAATAGAATATATATATAACGACATATTGACTATATTAATTAAGATATAATGACTACTCAATTAAACATTGAAGACCGGACCTAACACTGGATGAAATTAAAGTGCAGATGTCAATCGTTCAGGCGCTTTACCAAAAGAAAAGGAGAAGAGAAGACCCTGAATATGCACAAAAGTTGAGGGACAGAGACCGCCTCAGACAACAAAAGAAGAGAGAAGAACGGGGTGTTCCAAAAATATACCTGTCACCAACAGTGAAACGAGGCAAATACTGATGGTGGTTGCAAAATGATTTTACTATTAAAAAATATTAACTTATTGTCTATTTTTATTTGTTGGATATGCTGAACCAGAAGCAGAAGCGCTACTACTTCTTCTACTTGATGAGCTTGATGATGTAGGTATTGGCAAATCTGTTGGATGTGCTACCATGGGTGGATTGTGTGATGAACTGCTTGATGAAACATTTACTACTGAATGTGGTGGAGAACTATGGACACTCACTGCAGGTGAAGAATGCACGCTTATAACTTCCTCTTCATTATCATTGTCATTTTTCCCTGCTTGTGTCAAATAATCAATCGCTGACAATAAAGCAGTGCCACCCATCATAGCTGTATTTCCTGCTACTTCTGCCAATCTAAAACCCATCTTTAATTTCCCTCTACGTCTTTTGAAAAATCACCTATTGCCTTCACTGTCACTGCTACTACTGCTAGGGTTTTCAATCATTTTTGTAAATGCTTCTACCATCTTATCACTTCTTGATGGCTCTAAACTTTTGAAGTTCTTTGAACTCGTCTTCAAATATAATGTCCTATTAATTGGTTTAATTAATCTCCTGTTTCAGTCTCTTTGTCAAACGTAATTTTCTTATCGGTTTGCGTTTGTTTGCTCTCTATCTCTGGGAATTGTGTTGCCTCATCTTCAGATTCTATCTCATTATGTATTTCTCTTCTTTCTGTTGGCGTATTTAAAAATAATGTAAGTATTCATCACCATCCATTATATTTGTTTCTTCAGTCTATTCTTTACTAAAATCATGATTAATAATAATTAGATTTTATTCTTAATTATGCCATTTCACTTCCCCTTGCGCTGTGTCTGTTTCTGTATTCTTTAATGTTGCTTTTAAATAGTTCTGATTCAATTCATCTTTGCCATACACCGGTTTGTATCATATCAACATCTACATGATATTGCTTTGTTGTTTTGCCTCCTCCTTTGCCTTTTGCTCTTGTTGGTAGTTCATTCTCTGGGTCATCTACATCAAAGCCTCTCAAAAACAATTGAAATTTCAATGCTTCTGCGCTCATAGTTCCTACATTTAATCTATAGCTAATGGTTCTTAATACTGCTTGTTTGGGTTCAGGGGCTTCGCATTCTTCTCTTGCTGTCATCATTTCTACTTCAAATCAATTGCTAATTGTGGCAGCGGTTGAGCCATTGGCGTTCCTACTCTGCTACTTGTTCTACTCAATCCACCAAATATTATATCAATAACAGGTGTGGAGCTTCTACTTAATAAACTTTGGTGTGCTTGTCCTGTTTGTTGTTCTCTCTCCTGCGCCATTCTGGCTCGTTCTTGTAGTTGTGCTTGAATGGGTGCATTATTAACATTGTCATCTTTTGGCGTCTCTGCTTCTATTGGGGTTGTGTCTCTACTCCGTTGCCTCATCCTTTCAACATGAACTGTTCCACCTCCTAAGTTGTGTCTCAATAATAGTTCTCTCATCTGTCTCTCTTGTATTCTGTTTTGTTGTTCCTTCAATACTTCTAAATGGTCTAAGCCATCAAAGAAGCTACCTTCAGGACTTGCTTTAAAAAATGTAGCCCTTCTGTCTGGAAGGCTTCCAGTTAATGTTTCATTTTCTCCTATCAACCCTGCTATTTCATCATATGTTGGTCGCCTCTTCAATTCATATTTTGAATAAGGATTTATCATTTCCAATGCCATAGTTGCCATATATTAATACGTTAGGTAAACATGTTAATATTTTATGCAAAAAACAGGCCTTTAGGTTGCTTAATGCTGTGTTCTTTTGCGTTGTGCGGTAGGTTGTCTCTTTGGACTTCACCTCTCAACCTGTCCAGTTCATTTTGATAGTTTGACCTAGCATGCGCTTGTATCATGTCCTTTCTTAA